GAGGAAAACAATAGCATACAATAAGAGAGAGTTTATGCAGTAAGGAATTATTCAACGCAGCGCGAAACTTCTGATGAAATCATCTTAGTCTTCAAGTATTATGGTGACTTCAGTCAATGAATTCTGATTGGGTGTAGATTTTTGATTGATAAGTAAAGTCATTGAAAGCCATTTGAGTGTGTGCTCACTTSCAAAGTGAGCTGAACCGCCGCGTTTTACATGTCATAAACCTCGGATCGCAAGACTTGTTCGACAATATAGATCACATTGAAGGTATGACATTTTGAAATTGTTTCCATATGATTTCTCATATTTTGAAATCCAAGACTTCAAAAGATTCGAATTTTTCTGTCAGTGCTTGTTAATATTTATACGTATTTGAGATACTATTGTGAGATTTGCTTGTGTTTGCAATCCATAAAAGCTACTCGATCTATGCTTTTTCAGTTTTTTTCTCGATTAAACAAGAGAAACGGAATTTAAGATAATTATCAGGGAAAATCTTAGCTATAATAACTCAAATAAACCATRATTAATTCTCCTCTTATACCAAACAAACAAAATTGCATTGAAAATCTTATATACGACGTGAAAAAGAGACTTGCAAGACAAGGTAGCTAAGCAACTCATCTAATGTCCATTTTCGTGCAGTAAATATTTATTGTCCCCTAACTGTCAACATGGATTCAGTTTTCTTCACTTTTAGGCTGAATTGGATATTGATTAACCAATCCAACAGTAATTCGACAGAAGAAAAAAACGAAGAAGAATATATAGTTAATGGAATCCCTTATGTCCCCAGAAGGAGTTTTTACTCGTTCACATCACTTGTAACCGGTTCTCAACGGATGATATTGCCATGGCCATGCAAATTAATCGATATCTTCAAGGACGTTGCTGCCCACCGCTCCTTTTTGGACGCTGGATTTATGCAGAATCCTATGTTATCTTGATCGTAATTGAAATCGTTGAGCAATCAATTCATGCAAGACTCAATATCGCGCGCGTTTTTCGACTTTATTTAGATCCGACTCACTGTACCGACTGGATCACCGAGTTGCATGATAAGCTAGYCTCATCTTCCAATCAGAACAATCCATAGATATTTTATGTAATAGTTATATYGCTTCTACTTTGTGTTAAGGGAGTTTCAAGTGCGAATATTACGTCTTAGCTCAAATATATTAAGAAATCGAAGCATATCTGGCTTTTAGTCTTTTCTGGTTTTCTGGAAGCAATTTCTTGAAGTCACTTTCAAAAATACCCTTAATAGGTTTTGTTCATACTATGAACCGTGGATCACATAAAGTCCCTGYCACAATACTATTCTCTGTCTTTATTTTTTGAATTAATAGTTKAATCAAATTCATCTAAGACCTTGGACGAGTTTTGATTTTCTGATCGAGGTTTACGGTTGTCTGGACACACRCAACGCAGACGCATGATATTACTAACGATATTCCTAACTACAGTGGGCTTGTGGCCCGCCAAACTGGATTTTACTTAATGTTATTAGGTAAGGATATTTGATATTATTATGACGAAAACCTTCCAAAATAATGCTATACAAATGTATTTTTTTCGCTTTAAATCGTCTATACCTTGAACGGTTTGTACGGATACTTAATTTCTCGTTCATTTTGAAGGCGTTTGCTAGTTTGATGCTCCAACCCACTTCCTTTAAGTCTTCCAGGCACACTTCAAGTTAATGTTGATGTATAGTGTGTTGTGTTTYACGACTTGAGCATAGAAAACGACTGTTTTTGTTCAACAAAGGGACCCAGTGCATAAGAATACGTACGCTATAACTGTTTATTTTAAAGAATCGATGACAACAAATGAAACTGAAAAGTGGAAGAGAAAGAAAGGAAAAAGAAAGCAAAAAAAGGTGGGAATTACAAAAAAATATAAATGAGTAAAAATGTCGAAAAATAAGTAACACGTTAGATATTACTTTATGTGATGATATTTTTTGAAATTGCTAATTTTTAGCAGTTTAGTGTTAAAAGATAGAGAAAAATAACAAAAACGCACACCCAGGAAATTAAAAGAGATTACGAAGTACTTAGAAAGAAAAGTCAAACAAACCTGGAATAAACTTAACTTTACCTTTATCGATCTGAAAAGCAATTTTCTCTCAAAATTCATAAATGTAATCTGTGGCGAAACAGATATAGCAATAGACCAACAGACTTCCGTTTTTAAAAGATCTTGAAAAACAAATGAAATCCCATCAATTTTTTAACTTTAAGAAACCAAATTTCGATCCCCTGCTAGGTTAAGCACAGCGGGAAAAGTCGGTACCATTGTTGAAGTCAGAAAGAAATATGTTTAATCATAATCTTTTAAAAATATTCCATAGCCTATTAGTTGGTTGTAAAATACATAAATAAATGAATATCTGGAGGGTGTATATATCTAATGTTTGAGATTGAAGGCGGAGTTGTCAAGAACCGTGAATATCTAAACTCGAGATCAGATTCCGTGATTTTTTGTTCTATATTTTGAAGACACTTACAATCACCATCGAGGTGGTTTCTCTTATCTAATCACCTTGAAATCCTGATTTATTCATAACATGGATCTATGAAATAAAATGACCGAATGACCAACTGTTCTTCTATCTTTGGTTAACRATTAATGACACTATGCTCGGTGAATTGTCTCTGTGCGAAAATTCACAATTCAATAACAAGTTCACTCAGCGTATACGCTCCAACTTCATCATCATTTCATTTCTATTTCTCAACATTTCCAGGCTGTATATTTTTTAATGTCGTCACTTTAATYGCTATTGCAGATAGATTACGAATAAAATCCACCTTTATTAGTCTTATTTATTCAAGTGAGTCTAGAATATGCAAATGAAATAGTTTTATTGATCGTTAAATCGACTAGCTGACTGTAATAAGGCTGAATAGCAATCGCGTTTTGAGAGCAATTAGCCGTATTTTGAACGTTTGAGCTAGAACGTTTTAATTAAAAACTACTAATAAATAGTACTCATTTTAGAGAGCCTTTTATAATAGCCGACCAACAAAGTAAAAAGAGCTTCCTTGAACTTTCTTTTATTAATTATTTTTATCTCTCTACCTTAATGGTTTTCAATTCCTTGAAGCAAAGGTTTTGGCTCCATCTGCGCAGGCTCGGAAAATGGCGATAAAAGGATCGTAAATTATTGTAAACGCGTAAAAAATCGTCTAAGCTAATGCTTCTGGTTGAATTGAATGAATAAAATAAAAAAATATAGAAACTAGGTCAGTTGTTTACGGTTTTGTGGTGATTGTCCGTGCAATTTCGAACGTAACACAGAGTGACGCATAGCGTAGTAATTTCGTGTCAGCGGCAATCCATATCCAAGGAGGTGATTGGATGAAAAAAGCTGCTCCCATGCCCTTTTTTTTGATTAGCTCATAAAGGAAAGCCCTTCTAGTGTCACGATATCTTCGGATATCCCACTCAATGTAATCATAACATTTTACCGGTATCTCTATCATCCTAAACCTTTACTTTTAGTAATCCTGTAAAAAATACACGTGCTCTTTATTCATCTCCGGCTTCAAGACTAGTTGGTAGAAAATCCGTTTAACTTCTTAGACGTTCTTTCAGGCCAAAGCTGCTTCAATGCTTCAATATTACGACACTCGGGCGTGTAGTGTGTGAGTAGAGTTGATTCGAGAGTTTTCCTTCGAATTCTATTGCTTTCCTCCCTCCGCAAAAATGAACTCCTAAATTTCAGTTCAATCTTGGAACGAAGGGTCGCAGATTTGTTAGCCACCTTCTCACACATACAACACGCTTTATGCACAGATTTAAACACGCAACGCATCTTTACAGCACGCTTTACGCACGAACTTAAAAACGCTCCACTGCATATCTACAGCACGCTTTACGCACAGACAATACATACAGCATGCTTTACGCAAGGATTCAACACGCTACGCACTCATGTAGCACAATTTACGCACGGAATTAAACGCGCTACGCACACATACAGCACGCTTTAAACACGGACG